ACGCTGTGGAAAGATTTGTACTCGTGACGAGCAAAACACAGATAGCACAATGTGTAGCTTTAAGCCTAACCAAACCAAACTAAATCGCTCGATATCTTTAAACTACGGGGAAGATATTCTTAATTTTTTTATTACATAAAGCTTGCTAAAATTCGTTGATTTATTGGTGGGTTAATAATAACTGTCCCTGTGTACTTATAACTGGCAGTAACCTAAACAGAGTACATAACCGAAAACAGTATCAGGTTCACTAAATGTAAAACAAGAAAGTATCCAATAACCAACGCTTATTTTATACTCCTTATCTGAAGTGAAAAATATCCATTATAATTTTTCTCCAGGTCTCGTGTATATCTATATCAAAAGCCTTGTACTTTCTCTTCCAGTCGGGATGTTTGTAAAAAAAAAGCAGATTCAACACGTCTATGACTCACTTTGTCACTTCCCGAAGGTTTAGGCCAGTTGGGCGGTTGCAACGTAGCCCTAATATCTTCGTCACATGTTGTGCAACCTTCAAGGTCGACTGGCGATAGGATTTACTACGATAATATCGGTCATGACCGAGGGTTAAGTTAATTGGATAAATCAACTCATATTTTACTTTATAGCATCGGCCTTTGGAGGGCTAACTATGATAATATCAAAACAAAAGTGAAAATTCTAAAATGTTCGGTACAGTCCCATGTGGCCCGGCATGGCCAGGTGGTTAGGGCGCTCGACTCGCAATCTGTGGGTCGCGGGTTCGAATCCCCATCACACCAAACATGCTCGCCCTTTCAACCGTGGGGACGTTATAATGTGACGGTCAATCCCACTATTCGTTGGTAAAAGAGTAGCCCAAGAGTTGGCGGTGGGTGGTGATGACTAGCTGCCTTCCATCTGGTCTTACACTGCTAAATTAGGGACGGCTAGCGCAGATATCCCTCGTGTAGCTTTGCGCGAAATTCACAACAAACAAACACTCCCATTTAAGATCAGGAAAAATAAAAACTCCTTAGCCTACAAAACGTCCTCTGCAATCGTAATACAAAATAAAATCATCTAAAAGCTAAAAAAAGGAATTTATACCAGTGAATTACTTTCTCCTAAGACTACTCTAGTAATATTGCAAGGTTTTAAAAAGAAATAATTTATCTGGTACAAATTCATAACAACATTAAATTAATTAAGGTAAAAAAAGTGATAAATTATTCAGAAAGAAAGAAAGACAAAACACTAATTCAAATGCTTTCGAAAAATAAAAAGACCTTCCTACATCCGGGAAGCAATGGTAACTTATAATCAACCTTGATTATTTTCATGATGTTGTGAAATAAAAAGACGGTCCTTCGTTTGCTCGCGCCAACTAATTTGCATTATCTTTTATTAACACTTTCTAATGAAAGCACTTCCGAAGTTGCGCTATTATTTCCCCGAAAGGGGGCAAAACGCCGCCTGAAGGGATCACCTGTTTTAACCACTCACACCGCTCTACAGTGTCGTCTGTCAGTCAGTACACACTAAAATGACGTCACATAAGGGACGCTTAACACTTCAGTTTGTTCTATCGTGACATCAGTAAAACAAGCGCATGCCATGAATCACAAAATAAATTATGCACTCTGTAGGCTAAAACATATAGCATGACATGAACTTCAAAAGCAAGAAATAAAAAGGATTTGTTACTCTTAATTTTGGTTTTATTTACTCTTGAAGCAGAACACTTTAGGGGACCCTGCGCAAGTACATCTAGTAATATAATATTTGTAATGAGGAATGTAGAATATATTATGTAGCTCAAAAGCCGGAAGTATCACCGGAAGTACGACTCTTCCTTGAACGAGATAGTAGTGTAGTTCGCCGTTATTGTTACTACTACGCTTTTCACAAGGATACATGCTGGCGTAACAAACTGGTTCTGACTAAAAATAAAATGTCTGAAGTCGCATCGTATGTGTACTGTTTAAGAAACTAGGTTATTTGACATTTCTAGAATAATGGCGTATTTGCCCACTAGCATCTACAAAAACAAGTTACCAGTGCAGCTTCTCCACATTTTATGGAACGTGTTAAAACAACGAGGTTGGATATAATTAATAAATGTTAGCTACACCAAGTTCTTTGAAAAAGAACGTAGTTTGCTTGTGTGGTTAGAAAATTCATCATATCACCGCAATATCGAGAAAAATGTGTTTGTATTTGAGCGCAAACTAAACTATGAGTATCAAACCCTGATTTTTAGTGCATAAATTATCAAACTGTCTGCTGACCCACTTCGATGAAATATAAAGAAAACTATTCGTATACAACAAGTATCCAATAATAACAAGCATGTAATTCTGTTTCAGATAATACAAATTATTCATTAATCTTAAGTTATCTATTATGCACTCATTTTAAAAACGCTAATTATATTTACTTCCGTTTACAGCCGAAAGTTACAACAAAGGTCGCTGAAATTGTAAGAACTTCAGAACACTCATACACGATTGGACACCAGAGATAACGTTTTCAACAAATTATTCTAAACATTTTTTTTAATGAACGTTGCTATCATTATTTAGTAATTTACATTTTTACACTCTCCTTTTACGGTTTCTTTAGTACATCGTAAAACATTACACATAGCTATGCTGGAAAGATAAATCTGTTACACCTGTATTTTATAGTATTTTCTAACATAAGGCAGAAGTGAGTCATGCATAAAACAGCAAATAAAGATAACTCCTCTAACATTTGTTTTTCCTAAATGACTAATCGTGTTTGTTTTCCTCAACCATTTGGTAATTGCGCATTCGTTTTTCATAGTTTTGTTACCAGCCAATAAGAACAGAGTATCTCCAGAGCAAACGAATAAAAACGTTGCTTTGCCGTCATAAAAGTTCATGCTTTATGACCGAATGTTAAAATTCATTACGAAGTTTAATAAAAAATTCCCTTAACAAACAATGCCACAACTGCTTAATTTCTGCTAGTCAAACAGTTGGGTATTATTATTTTCTTTAACCTAGGTGGAAAAACTATCATTTTAAGATTGCCGTGGTTGCATTGCGTATTGATATTTAACTAATGTAGTTTACTATATTAACACCCTCCAGCCCAATCCAAAATTGTAGCCTCAATACAGTTTAAGTTATCAACAGGGATCCATTTGTCTAGACTCTAGAATAATATACTGATTATAGTTTTTTTTGTTTTGATCCATTTTTTATGGCGTTAATTGTGTTGCCAACAGAATCGTTCTTAGTTACAACTATATATCTGTTGGCGGTGCCCTTGCTGACATTCACTGTGAGGCTATCTGCCACTCATAACCCTCAACCCTAACACTAAATCGGTACTGTAACCTTTTTGTTGTTGTCGATCAGGGATACTTAGAACAACGATATAAGTTATCGAGAGGTTAAAACACTGACAAAGCTGGACGGGATGACGTTTAGGTTCGTTTAGTGAAACCGAAATTGACTAGGACGTGGTAACAAAAATCACAAGTTTTGTAACTTATGAAAACCTCATAACACACAGACCACTGAAACAAACTGCAGATTGAAAATAACTAACAAACAACAAAAGTAATAATGGTGAGATTTATAAAAGTTTTAAACATTATAACTACCTACATCTTTTAGACTACAGAATCTTAAGTTTCAGACAACTCAGATTTTAAAACACCTGATGTTGGAAGATAATACAAAATATTGTGCTAGCCTAATATCATCGTCAAAACCATCAACCACAAAGCAAACACATCACAAAAAGGATATATATAGATATATATAACTGTAATATATCGAATGAAAAAACAATGAGGATAGCGTTTAGAGACAGGGAACACTTATGGTATTGAGTTCTCAATTTTAAAATAAATGAAGATGAATATAAACGATAATATGAACCCAATCTGAGGTCACTCATGAGCCCATGTTTTTACTAGAGAAGACGATTTCTCGAGGGTTAAACTTGTTCCACGAGGAAGAAACAATATAAAAAGTAGTATGTTTATATATATATATGTGTGTGTGTGTGTGTGTGTGTGTGTGTGCACGTGTGAGAGAGAGAGAGAGAGAAAGAGAGTGAGCATACATATGTCGTTACACTATCATTACGTTTTATAAAATCATTGCTTGATCCCCGGAATCACCGCTTTCCCATCTTACACTAAATGTGGCACGCAAAACGATATTCTGTATATAATCCAGATATAAACAGTCAAACAGTTGGGTACAAGCGGGAAATGGGGCGCAGGAAACTGAAAGTTTCACACAATGGTGTGAAAGTTTTTCGTTATTAAATCTTGGAATCCCATTCGGCCATGTCTCATACAGTCAGGTAGGAACAATGTCACGGAATATCCGACATAGTTTATTAACTTGCTTTAACAGCAGTCCCACCTACGGGCAGGTGAAATCATTTCGGGTTTTACGATACGTCTTTTAACAGGAAGCCATTAGTTCCTTTTTGGTGGTTTAACGGAGCGTGACGACCGCGCTCGCTCGTCTACATCATTTTCCGTCCTAAAAGAGTGATGGTATACTTCGAATTGCCGTAACACGTAATATAACCGTCATGTCTTTCATGTGTTTAATAATCTGCATTCTTCATGTTCAGTGTCACAATGACGGTTAGCTATAATGATGAATAAGGAACATGCGATACGAGAAGTTACGAAAATTGCAAAATGAAGTTACGAAGTTGTTACAAATCTGATATGATAATAATTTAATATTAGTTAAGCCGTACACTATTGTTACTAGCAAATAAACCCTTCCACAATCAGAATGGAACTTTACTTATGCATATATATATATATATATATATATATATATCACCTGACTCTGACAAAACATTGATACTCTAATTGGTTCTGCAAACTGTAAATATACCTCATTATAAATAGCTTTGCTTCGACTGACCTCCATGTAACTCTATACATAAACACTCGTCTTTATTACAGCTAATCATTGCAACACATCAAACACACGAAATATAAATGCAACATCCGCTTAGTTATAGAATTTTGTTTTCACGTGTTCGTACATACAGTGCCTGACTGACCTTGTCAAATCCACAAATGGTGTTGCTGTGTTACCGTTGCTAACTTACCGTTTGACTTGTTTAATTTTGCTCAAACACCACAGCGATATAAACGAACAAAAACACGGTAAGATTATCAAATGTTATCAGGAAATATAATGTTTTAATACTTTTGTAACAAGAAACTTGAAGGTGCTGCAATGTGCATGAAGTGTGTTTACGAAATTCTTAGGGAATAGTCAGTGACTGTGTTAAATCAACAACTGAAAGTATTTTCAGTTGGTGAGATATCTATTCAATATAGTGATAACTATTCTAGAAGAGAAAAAAAAGACCTTTATATTTTTCTAAAATTAAAAATACGAAACTGTTATAATAATTCATTCAACAAATATTACTTGAACACACACGAGAGTTGATAACCACTATCACTCTTCAACTAAGCTACAACTGATTAGTTTGTGAAGTACACAATTTCAAGAGTTTCATTCCATTAATATAAGTCGTCAATTTATAAATGCTCAAAATTACCTTTACATTCATGACTGAAAATGATACCACACTTCATGCGCATGAACCGTTCATTGTCTGCCTTAAAGAAAAGACTAGGTACTTGACGTTTCTTATTTTAAAAGTGAAATGCATCAGATGCAGTAATATCGTAAGCATTAATCAAGAACTTCTATATGAATATCTTAACAAAATAATATCACTAAAACTTTATCGATTATAGCAATAATAATAATAAACTGTGTTTGTTGCCAAAGAAATAATCAAATTCGGTGTTTATGACTCGTCGATATACATATCGATAGGATTCTTCCAAAGAGCGAAACGAAGTTCATGTATTTCATTAACTATTATATTTTTACAATATAAACCACTAAAGCGGACCTACAGTTAGCTCATTTTCATTAACTATTCAAAATTATAAAATTATCTCTGATATCCGATTTTGTTTTCTCTTACTATTCCACGTTCTTATATCGAAATTCTGTCTGTATTTCTTCATTATACTAACCACTGCGTTTTGATTAGTGTTACACAAAGGTAATGAGCTGTACACACACGCACACAAATAATGATTTAATACTACAGAAAAAATCGGATTAAACATACTGGAAAGTTTAAAACTGGGACGATGGAGTCAGCAAAGTTTTACTATGACTTAGGTTTTTCAGTACATTTTCATTTACTATACGTGATCTAGTAATAAAATAATTGCGTAGGCGAGAAAACAACAAAATTCAAAATAGAATATAACGTAGTGTTAAAAACTCGCCAAATTAAAATAACTTTATTAATAAAACGCGAAAACAACGTTTCGGGCAACAGCCCTTCATCAGGTTTTCAGTGAGAATAAAACCGTTGATACTGAATGGTCCAGCCTCGTCCCTGAGTGGCTTCATCCCAGGCACAAAGTATTTTCATATCAATTTACTGTTCATTGTGTCTTGTCGGATAAGGCGGGATTCAGTACTCTACTACAGTATTTTAAGTGTAAAAGTGACAATTAAAATGATAAAATATTAAAAACATGTTCTCATGAACTTGAAAAATGATAGAAAGTGAGTGATGATATCAATATTTGGAAAGAGTTCCATATGGCACCCCCACCCAAAAATTGTAGAGCCTTTTTGATGCCTTTATACAAGACATTTGTAAAGTTTGTCCCCAAGAAGATTGTACATCCAATTAATGAAGTAAGTGGTATAATAATGTATTAAAATTATCAGATCATACTATTAATATGATTTATTAATACATAAATATTACTTTGATGAATTTTTTTTAAAAATTGAGTGGGGGTGCCATATAGAACTCTTACCCAATATTTTGTTGTCATGAAAGGTTTATTCCTATCTAGTTATAAAATATTATTCCTACTTTGGCAGTTATATACACGTATCTGGAGGCCAAAGTAAGAATTAAATTTTATAAATTTGTGGTGTGGTTTTAATTCTTGTAAAAGTTATAGCTATCAGGGATATGGCTATACTGAAAGTTTATAAATGTTGTGTCCATTCAATGGACATATAAAAACTGAACAAATAAATAGGGAAAAAAAACAATTTTTAATGGAAAGTAGGGATCGTTGGTTATTTGTAGAATTGCTATAAGAATAATCCAAAACAAAATAAATGCTTGAATTAAAAATACATAAACAAGTAAAGTGATACTAGTTGAATAGATTTTAAAACGATTTTCAATACCTACTCTCGTTGGCATTGTGATCCGTATAGCTAAATGAAAGTCTAAATTTGCCAACCAAAGTAGGGATTCAAAATCATTTTAAAATCTATCCAATTAGTATCAGTTTATTTGTTTGTTTACTTTTTATTGTATCATTTATTTTGTTTTGGATACTTCTTATAGCAGTTCTACAAATAACCAACGATCCCTACTTTCCATTAAAAATTTTTTTTCCTATTTATTTACATAAAACTCCTGTTGCTAAGACGAAAAATGTTAAACATAAATACGTAGGATTTCCGCTAGGTGTCACCAAAATCGCAATTCCCGCGATATTATTGTGTGAGAAAGTAAGGGCTGTCCCATGGGCATACCAATTAGTGAATGACCTTCTGATAGCCAGGTCTCGTCCTTGCCCCTGGGATGCTCCAATACAGTAAGAGACGCCATTGTTCCGACTATATCACGTGATAGTTTTACACATTCCAGTTAACAAGCTCTAAGGCGCGGTCGACACGCTGATAACTTAACAAAAGTCACCGACATTGCACAGATAAAAGGTTCATTCTATCGCACCACAAAATATTTTTGTTCTTTTATTGCAGAAAGGCCCATCATTTTGGGATATTACGACTTCTTAACTTTATATATAGAAATAATGGTTTCTAAATTACTATATAGATCAATGGATGTTTTAATTTATGCATAACTACACAAGCTTCCATTACTGGGGACGTTTAATAAAATGATATAACGCAAAACTGGTTAGTAAATCTTATGCAGTAATATTTATTAGTCACACGTGGAAATCAAGCCTAGCTATCTTATGTCAAATATTGGTATTGTATATCTGTTGAGATGCTTCACGATACACTGATAAAATCTACGTTAACCAAACTAGGCCTAAGTCCTGAGTAGGTTGAGAATGAGTCATAGAATCATCATTCACTCTTGAGGGTTGTAATCACATATATTATTAGCCACTACTAACGCAGTGACTAATCAAGTATTTGTTGTAATTTCACAGCGACGCCACCTGTCGAGTTTATTTCAATAATTCTGGAAATCCCGCGTACACTGATTTGTAAGTACACATTTAATCCTTCGTTTGCGGTTTGTGTAAATCTGCCTACTACCCCATGCGACTTTTTGCGGCGGGCCATTCAAAATTTTGCGCGCAGAATGCTTGCATAATTTGATGTCAGCCACAGTTGAACGGTTAACCACCCAAATCTATTGTACAGAGAGAGAGAGAGAGAGCATGTGTAATCTTACATACAATGTACTTAAAATATCTCACACGTCCATCTGTCGCTCCCAAAAAGCAGTTGCAAAATCGGGTGCATAAATATGAGATCCAATATCTTTCCATTTTGATTACATTGCAATAATCACATCTAAAACAGACTTCAAAAGTGTGATACCCAAGGTTCTTCTTTCCATTTAACCAATTTCGTTAAAATGAAACGATGTCATTCACTCCAGCGATTGGTCCCAGAAACTGCCATTGCTGCAAGAGATATTCACCCCCGCCCACATGGTTTATAAACGTAGCACCAAGTGGTACCCACCCGTTTTATACCCGCTACTGTAGCCTTTTATAGAAAAACAAAATGGCTAAATATACTTACAGTACAGTCAAACTGGATCAGGTTTTCACCCCTCAATGTGGCACAAATTTGTATTTATCTACGTTCGGTGGGTAAACCATATGTAAAAATAAGGTTGAAAAAGCACCCCTGCCTTCAAATTTTAACTCAACCTGTTCGCTATTATTCCAACTACAACAACAACATAAAAAGTTGGTTCCAAGAGAACGAACTAAAAGTTAGATTGTATTATTATTAACAACAACTTCACGAACGTAATAGTAATTCCTGTATTTATTAATCTTTTCTAAGTTCTATTTAAAAAAAAATCACAAATCGTGGTCTAGTTATATATAGTAACACTGAATCGAACTTTTAGTTACTTCTGGTTATTTTAGGCTTTAATACACTTGATAAAAGGCGTTCTATTTAAAACGTCTTGCTAACAGAAATCTTTCAAGGTAGTAACTTTATTACTTTGTCTCATTCTTTACGCCATTTCCTACCATAGCACTGTTTCCAATTTTATTTTCTCTGTTTCCTATATATTCTCCTCTCTCTCTTATTTATAATAGAGAGAGGGGGAGAAGAGAACCCTGTATAACGTGGGAGGAAACAACTATAAAATTTCGTGAATGAGATAACGTGATCTGGCCAGATCTTTTCTTTAAAGCGCCAAATTGTAATTGCAGTTTATTAGTTTTGAAGTGAGTTTTTGGAACTTTTGTATAATTTGCGATGTGAAAACACTTTTCTTCATACAAGAAATCATCTTCAGTAACTCAAAGAGCCAGTCGAGCAAGGTCATCACATATGGATGTGGATAAGCTTAGCTGAACACTAGAACCTAGCGGTACGTTCTCCTATGTCCTTCTGTTCCATGTGTGATATATCTGAGCTAGCCCTCTACTGTAGAGTTCATCAACAACTCATCTTTGCGTCTAGCCATACAGAATTTTATTTGGAAGGCACATTCTCACCCTTAACCATAGAAGGCAGTGACTGGCCTTGCGAGGCACGGTCTAGAGAAAACCCCAGCTCAACGAAGAGGGCGAACCGTCGAATCCTAAACTCGGTGGCGTCGGGTGATTATGAATTGCTCATTAACCATCGAAGACTAAAAGACATGGTTTTCACTTTGTGCTTTTTTCTTATACTTTCAGAATTAAAATGTGTGTGTGTGTGTGTGTGTGTGTGTGTGTGTGTGTGTGTATATATATATATATATTCATATACCAATTCACGAAATATTGCTATTTTTAAATGGTGCAAATAAAAACTTATCTTTAAAAAAACAATTCTATCATTGTAACACTAATTCAGTGTGATTAAAATAATGGACAACAATATTTATATAAAATAAATCGAACAGAGAGAAGCATGTGATACCTACGATTTCTTAATGATTTTAGCACTTTGAAGAAAGTTAAATGGGTGCATGACGTGTCTATGGACAGCTGTGTGGTTATTAACAAAAACGCACAGCAAAACATATGACACATAGAACAGAGTTCATAAACTTCACACATTGCAAACTTGCATCTCTTGCCAAACCATCAACAAAACATCGAACAAGAATATCGAATCTCTTCACAGAGAACACGTTGTTTTATAAATGCAATTACTTTAAACTTCAGAGCTAACAAACGCTGAACCAATGGGCAGAGGCAATATAAATGGTTTGGGTTTCAACCTCATTGATGTCCATAAGGTAGATAACCTGAAATTCGTCTCAGCATATGGAACGGTTTACTGCTCATTTTAACTATTAAACCGTTAGATGGCGCACCATTACGTGTTTATAGAAACACATTACACATTTAAAGCATGAAGAAAATTTTGGATCATTACTAAATTTACATTCCATTAAATTATAAAATAATATTTCCTTACTGTTGGACTCACGATCTGGACTGAGGCACTATTACTGGATACACCAGAGAAAGTGTAGTTATTTTTTCGTTATAATATAAGAAAGGACTATTTTGATTAAAGTGACAACTAACCGTTTCTATTACTTGAATACTATTATCAGTCTTAGGAAAGTGGTCGTGAGAATGTTTATTTTTGTGAAAAGATTCATGGTAGATTTCATTTATTACAAACATGATTAGCACGTGTTTATGGTAAGGACACTACCACATTATCGATTTTTAGGAAAGAATAAAAACATCGAACTATCATTTTACTAAAGGGAAGGTTAAATATATACTTTAAGTCCTTCATCATCAGTATTATTAAATTTAATCCAGTTTAGTTATTAAATTAAAATAATACTGAAATTAAACACAATTTGCTATTGGAAGTTCAAAACGTGTAAAGTTAATTTCAAAGCGTGATGAACAAACACCAAAAGGTTTGTTATGAATTTCGCGCAAAGCTACACGAGGGCTATCTGCGCTAACCGCCCCTAATTTAGCAGTGAAACAATGGGGGAATGAATCTAGTCATCACCACCCACCGCCAACTCTTGGGCTACTCTTGTACCAACGAATAGTGGGATTGACCATCACACTATAACGCCCCCACGGCTGAAAGGGCATGTTTGGTGGGACGGGGATTCAAACCCGCGACCCACAGATTGCGAGTCGAGCGCCCCAACTGGTTACCTGGTCATGCTGGCCCAACACCGAAAGTCCAGCACGAAAAAAAAATAATGCCGACAGATATATGGATCCCATCGGTAATTCTAGGGATCTATTTAAAATGCCGACAGATATATGAATCCCATCGGTAACTCTAGGGATCTATTTAAAATGCCGACAGATATATGGATCCCATCGGTAATTCTAGGGATCTATTTAAAATGCCGACAGACATATGGATCCCATCGGTAATTCTAGGGGTGTATTTAAAATGCCGACAGACATATGTATCCCATCGGTAATTCTAGGGATGTATTTAAAATGCCGACAGATATATGGAACCCATCGGTAATTCTAGGGATCAAACAAATCAGTTTCATCAACTTCGTGTTTTTTTATGTTTAAACCTTAAAAGTTCGATTGAAAAGCAAATCGGTTTGAATTATATCATACACGAGAGTGAGTAACTTGAAGTAACTCGGCAACTCCAAGTTAAACTAAACAGTACGAGAGTGAGTAACTTGAAGTAACTCGGCAACTCCAAGTTAAACTAAACAGTACGAGAGTGAGTAACTTGAAGTAACTCGGCAACTCCAAGTTAAACTAAACAGTACGAGAGTGAGTAACTTGAAGTAACTTGGCAACTTTTGGTATAAACGTTCATAAGCTTTTTTATTCTTCCACAGATTACGTACTGTTTAGTTTAACTTGGCCTTGCGAATGGCTTTGGGTCTGCTGTGTAGGTATCGGTGAGAGGTTGTTTGCTGATAGGCATTGTCAAGGGGCAATGGGCCTCCATAATCAGCCCCTGCTGGTAGCTCACGTTGCTATTCATCTCAGGCCGCTGACCTTCCGCTAGAATCTGCAAAGGAAGAATTCTATTTTATCTTATCTCCAAAACATAAACAATGGCGCACGTACACTTAGTGATGTAACAACGTCACGGTTAAATACATAATTACTTGCCTCGAGAAACTGCCAGTTGGAGTGGACTTTTTTACCCTTATCTTCTAATAACTACTTATTTTAAATACAGGTTTATGTAGTCAAGATACTTGGTCATTGCCAGATGTTAGAAGTGACAACAAAAGAAGTTACACGCTGAACGAGTGCTTAAGGATAATATGTTTTTGCTTTGTTCACGAAAACAAGCCTAGGCTGTTAAGAAGATGAATGACAACGATAATGCATACTTAACAGGAACGGTCCGAGATGAGATAACGCTTAAGTTAAAATAAGCTAATAGTTGGAAGGTATATACAAAAATCAAAAATAGAAACAGTTACGTGAGTTATAATGTTGTAAATATTTTCATTATCTGTTTCTTACGTTTTCGTTTAATTATCAGAGAACTGAAACTTAAAATGTGTATATATTTATTTAAGAAGAACGAATAAAAAGAGGAAAGTACATATTAACTAAAACTTTTAAAGCAACATTTAAAAAATTCTACGTTATTTAAAAAAAAAATGTTAACCATACCGACAGAATAACCTTCAAGATTTTACAAAACTTCCTGCTTCGTATGATTAAAATACCTTATTACGATACTATACATACAGACAGACAGGAGCTTCTATATCCGCTCGGTTCATCCGTGATCTACATATCGAGTTGCCATAGCAACCACACAAAAGCAAGGCAGTGAGATTAGGCTTAAAGTCATACTTAACAACACCCCTCTTCCCCCCCAAAAAATCGATATGACCTTACTGAGTTAATAGCGAAGATTTAGGTATATTAAATAAGCGTTATTTTGGCATCTCTAATAGTATTTACCTTCTATTTACATTTTTCGTTCAAAGACAAACGTTAGACGATGTATTTTCCAAATTATTCTATATGTGAAAGAAAACGTCAGTACGTTGAATAATTTACATGCTACTTTATGATTATATATACAAGAACTGTGAGAATAGATGTTTTGGTTATGTAGATGGCTAACTATTAACTCTCATTGCTTCGTAAATGGATATTCATGTACACGCTCGACAAGTATGTATCTGGGTTGATTTAATAGTTTCCGTATTATAACACCAATCAGTACCCCCAGTGAACATATTACAGTCTTATCTTTCACCTGTATTAGTATGTTTGATTTTACGCAGTATATTCTCTCGCTTAATACTGAAGAAGAAACCTGAAACGTTCTGAAAGCCCAAAATTAGAAAGCAGAATAAATGTTTAAAAAAGGGTCACATTTTTGACAAATGTGCAGCTGCACTTTAAAATAAGGAAAGTAAAACAAACAAACTATTTACACATGTTACACATTAAGCGTCAGTAATTCATCATGTAAGTTTCAAATAAATAAAGAAACAGGTAATACTCCAAGTATGTCAGCAATAACAACTATTTATAAGTGGATAGATTGAATAACAGTGAAACTTACAGATTGTTTGTTTTGTTGTTGATTATCCGTACTGATTATCCCGTTGATTATCCGGGCGTCGAAGCCAGGTTTTTAATGTTTAAGCCTTCAGACTCACCGCTAAACCATTAGGGGGCCTTAAACAGGTTACCTCAACAAATCGTTTTGTTTGTTTTAGTGCTAAGACACACAACGCATTGTTTACGCTGTCTGCTGTTAGGATCGAACCTCGAATGTTAGCATTTTAACTTATAAGCCTTTAAACTTATCACAGACAGACCATTAACAAAGAACTTTAATATAAACAAAAAATAAAATAAAGCCCATATGGGAACATTAAAGTGAAGAACAGAAGTAAATATCTGTAAGAAACAAACGGTATCGAACACTTAACCCAAAGTAACTCAGTTCTATTCACTGCTAAAGCGTACGCAAAGTATCTAAAATGGGGAACAAGAACCCCTAGGGGTGAGGGATGTGATTTTAGAGGGAACAGCACACATGCAAGAATATTACCTCCCAAATGACCCAAGCACGTGAAAAGTGTCCGTCCTAACACTATGGGCCATTATAAAAGCAAAATAGGTTGTCTGTAAGGTGAAGAAAATAGGAAACAGTAACCTAAAGGGGAGCAAGCTACTCCCTTTCTATAGATTACTGGGTAAAGGTCCTCAGTCAGGATGTCTAATGTCATGGGGTTAGACAGCCTTGAACCAAAAAGTTTAGAAACCTCTGCACTAGTACTCGTTTGAAAATATAAGCCATGGAACATCATTGTCTCAGGGACATTTTCTCTGTAAAGGCAGAAAGTTTTCCAAAGCGTTAAGATAACTGGTTGTTTTTTTAATGTAAGCTATTAATTTTATAGTGTGTAATAAAAAAATTATAAACATTTTATTTATGTGTGTGTCTTGATCTTCCAAAATAAACTGATAAACAACATTGTTGTCCCATTTTATCTATCTGGATAAATTGTGCCATTATTTATTTTAGTATTATTTTTTGACACGAATATCCATACCCTTATTGCAATTTTTGAAAATTTAATTCAATATACACATCATTACGACACCATATAATATGTTTAGCTACCATAATGTAATTGTGTAACATAATATAAGTATTTTTATTTTTTAATCAATATTTTTTATTTATTATTGTGAATCAGAAATGTCCATTGCAAATATTTTTTTCGACAAAAGTTTTAACCATATATACCTTAGAAAAACTGACAAGTCACCAACCACATGCAATAAAAGACTGCCAACTATATTATGCAGTTATGCGCTTAACAACAAAGTCTAAGTTTCACTGTTATTCGAGTTCTCCACGTATAGTTGTTACCATTCACATATTTGGAACATTACCTGTTTCTTTATTACTTTGAAACTTACGTAATGAATGACTGGCACATAATATGAAATATGCGAAATTTTTGTTAAAATATTTTTCCTGTTTTAAAAGCAGCTGCAAATTTTCTTATACACCGGCGATTTCCCCTAATAGTTTTTAAATTATTCATTACAAATAAATGTTTCGTTGGCATGACTTGGGATTTCAAGAATCGACAATATTTACTCCTAGTACAGTGCTAAGGTATTAAGATTTGGCTTCTATGAAACACCAGAATAAAGCAGCTAATTCAATCAACAGGCACATAAACAGATGAACCATTGCTAAACAACACTTTATCAACTCAGTGGAACAATGGGCTAAGGTTCTTGTCTTCTGACAGCTAAACTTCTCTTGCATTCAAAATTTAACGAGACTCTACTAACCACTAAAGACATTTTATCAGCACACTCAAATTAACTTAAGTCAAATTAGGTTTGGATTCTTTCTCTCTCTCTTTAGGTACCATATGCAAACAGGATGTTGGTGACCATGCTTCATCCACAGATTTCTTCTCCTTGAGGCATAACGAATTTCCAATATCAATAAATTCATAAGCTCAGATAGAATCTTGACATCAGTCGACCTTTGTCTTCCATGATCTCTCCTTCATTCCTTCTTTCCAATTATGACCAGACTTTCAATTTCTTCTTTACTGATAAAGTGTTCGAGAAACTCCAACTGTCTCTTTTTGATGTTAGTCAGCAGCTTTCTCCTGCAGCCTGCTCTTGACAAAATATCTTAACTTGAGGTGTAACTTGTCCAACATACCTTCAAGATGTGCCTACATAATCCTAACGAGCATTTTACACACTATGCAGATCTATCACATTTATACCTCATACATTATAAGTTGTTGTTGCCTAATTTACCAATGTGTTTTCTCAATCTGTCGAGACCTTTATTTTAAACATTACCTTCATACAAGCCTGTGATTTCAACATAAGTTGAGAACACTAACATTTTAGCTGCCTGCCTCTTTCCTGAGTATTCGTTAGATTTAATGTTAGAAAATTTCCCAAGATATTCTACTTGCCTCTACTATCAGTTTACTTTGACCAGTAGTAGCGTCTTCCCTTGACCTTGTCTTAATCTAACTATAAATACGCAATTAACTGCACATGTTTCTCATTATAGTCTTCATACTTAATCCTAATTAGTATTTATTATGAGGAATGTAAAAAAAAACAAAAAACATTTAAGTCAAACGCGATTTTAATCACTTCTTACTGTTAGGCGTTAAACACCAATGGATCAATCATATCGTACTTAAACTCATATGAACTTTCGTAATTAAATCATACCAAATCTTAAAAAAATATCCTTTCCAAAACCAGACTCTCATGTGCGTAATAAAATTAACATTTAGATGTGGGGTTATCACACGACTGGAAGTTTATTGTAGTTGTTTTCTTATTTTGTAACGTTAATTGTACATTCTTATGACAATCCCCCTCTGTAAATTACAATAAACTTTAATTGATTAAGGAATCTCTTCCAGTTCAAACTTTTTATCAAACATGACACTGACAGGCAGAGAGTTGGTTTGTTTTTATTAAAGCAAGTTATCTAGATAAAACAAAATAATGTTAGTTAAAGATTTATAATATAACTTTAATATTAGTAAATTTTATTGATATATCCGGATATGCCGAATATTCACATACGGTGTTATAACAACTTTCAGTTATTACTACTACTACTACTACTAGTGAATTCACGTGTTCTGATTTTTAGCAATCATTTTTCTTTTTAATTTAGCAGGCAAAAACCTTTCACTAATATTCTTACACCTCCCTTTCTAAGTTCTTCTTTTTTTCGTACTCATATACCCTATAGCTGCAATGATTAATCAAAGTACTGGTTATGTTAAACAGTAAAGTTATAACCGTATATGTTAACTTCCCAAACCATTGGGTGTTAGATATACTACACACTGACGTTATGTATTACCTTACCAAGTTTTAAATCATATGAATACTTTGTACTTTAAAGTTATAAACTGTGACAAAACCTAAAAATAGTGATTCAACCCTTTCTTTATTTCTATGTATTTATAATTAAAATCCATGCACTTACATACTGAATGGTTCGTTTTCAGGTTGAACTTGACAAGTTGAAAAATTACTCGGCAAGACGTGAGTGAGCCTAGACAAACTTGCAGGTACGTCCAAACTTGGTTTATAGTAATTATTGTTAAACGTTGTTCAGTCTGATAGAAAATAAACATAAATTAGGAAATAACAGCAACGTACTTGTTTCTAAACGTAGTTTGTTTTAGTTTAATGGTAATCACATTCACGACATTCTATCGTTCAATTAACACTCAATTTAAAACAGCTGAGACTGACACTTCCTTTATTCTTCCTTACTCTGCCACTGTCAGATACAATACCCCAACGAACGGCTCACTTTGCCGTGCAAACAATGACACATGAAATGTCTAGTACAAGAACCTTTACTCCGATTGGAGAATTTAATACATAGCGCAGGCTCAATTTTTCAAGACGTAAACTGCACTGACATCTATCGGCGATAAGAAAAACACTAAGATTAAAAAAGAGAAAGAAAAATAACCTTAGATAAATAAAAATACACATTAACAATAAGTAAAAAACAACAACATTTAACTGTGCTTATTTAAAAATAAAAAAGTTAAAAGTAACTGCTTTGTTGTTGCAGGATTTACATATGATACTTCTATATTCAGTTCGCTTCCCCCCTCCCAGTGGCGCTGCGGTGAGTCTGAAGGACTATAACGCTAGAAACTGGGTTTCGATACCCATAGTAAGCGCAACACAGAAGATAGCCCAGTGTGTAGTTTTGTGCTTAAATACAAACACACCATATTCAAATCTTTGATGTGTTGAAGCTAATTTTGATATTGAACTAGAACTTGATTGCATATCTATAATGGAAAATATAATCAAGAAATTTTATATGTAGAATACATACTTCTTCCCACTAAAACATTCCATTCTACAACTTTCCATTTACATGTCATATCCAAGACATCATTAGGAAATCAATAAAGCAACCAATAACAATACGTTTACATCACTATTATCAATTAATAATGAAAATACAATACTTCAATTATTTTCAGAAAATATTATTTTACAATCTTCCTTTCAGATTCCTTTGTTTTTAATATCCGTACTGAGGTGAACAAAAATGAAACGCAAGAATGTAGCTTGAGCTTCTTTGGCAAAACTTCTGGAAAGCACTCAGGTGATATAAATATCTGCAGGAAACTTCTTAAAGTGCTCACGTAATCTGTTTGACATTGTCTAGACTTATTCTACGTGTTTGTAGAATTTTGTTGATGTGGAAAACGCTTCAGTGCTATAAAAGTCATTATACGCAGAAATTTTCTCATATTTAAATAACGTATTGATATAAATGGAAACCATTATTTCATATATGAAGTAATAAGGACTTTTTTGTGATTAGTTAGCATCCTCGTAGCTAATAAATAAACGAAAATAAAAAAAAAACTCAAACCACAGATGGCAGCGTTGATTATACAGAAGCTTCAGGGCAAAATACTTCTCCAGGAAAATCTGCTATGCCCCGAAACGCTCGAATAAATAATCAACATAACATCACCACCTGTTATTTCAATGTTTGTTTTTATAAATTACTTTTCTCACGTGAAACGTTTTTTCTCTCTATCTCTTCCGCAACCCTTCATTACTTTAAACTTTGTATCACGCAAACATTTGTTATACTTTTGATACTAGTAAAGATTTATTCATATATACATACAGAATCAAAAACAAATTCAATAGGTTTAACCCTTTACCAAAAAGAGCTAGTTCTTGTACCGGCTGTAAAATGATTTTTATTTGTTTGTTGTTAAGCGCAAAGCTGCACCATGGTCTATCTAAACTGTGCCCACTATGGTTATCGAAACACTAATTTTAACACTATAATCCTTGCCGCTGACCCACTGGGGGCGCTTTAAAATGATTTGTTTGTTTAAAGCTAAGCACAAAACTACACAATGGGCTATCTGTGCTCTGCCCACCACGGGTATCGAAACCCGATTTATAGCGATGAACCTATTAAGTCATTCTGTTTCTATTCTTTACCCCCTTTTTGTTGTTGTTAGTGGTGGGGGCATTTTTTTCAATTTATAGGAGTATCTTGGTATGGAAAGCTGCAACATAGAAACAGAACGCTTCTTGAAGTTATACTATTTAATTTCTAAATAAAGACAGAAAATCATGAACTTGTTTTGTGTAATTAACGCTCCTACTTAATTTTTATTACTACAATAGCTCTTGAATAATCTTTAACAGGATATGGTTTAATGAAAACAAATATTTTCTCATAAACAATGTGGTTAATTTATGTACAGGAAAAAGAACCAGCTTGGGAGGCTCTTACCATATTTTATGCTCCAAATAAACTTTTAGTTAACACTTAGGTTCATGACCATATAAGTTTGATTATCAAACAATAACTAAACTGGGATGTATACAATTGTCAAACTTTATTATTACTTGGTGCTCCTTATTAGATAAGCATAAAAGCTTAGGTTACTTTGTAACGTACTAAGTTTTGTAGTAACCTAATGATTTGCACGTACTTGCTTTGCAATCTTCATGTTGTTTAACACACTGTCACAAATATAGTAAACTAATTTATATACAAGGCTTTAATTCTTGAACTTTAAACTTCTTGTAATTTATTCCCTCACGTGTTACACATATACATACAGTCTTCTTCAGGACTAAACTTAGTATGCACACACCATTGTCGTTATGTATAAACAATTATACAATGTTTCTTCTTTCTGACAGAGCTTAAATTCTCAGTCTTAAAAATGTATATAAAAGCGACTTTTTTTCTTTTATTATAAGCAGGCGTGGCTTAGTAGTTAGCATGCTGGGCTGTGGATCGAATGGCGTGAAGTTCGAAACATTATACCTTTGAACACACACTACACTTTCAGTTGTAGTCTGGTTATAAAAGTGACAGAAAATTTCATTATTTGGTTCAAAATGCCAAATAAAGTCCTTGTGGCGGCGAGTCCTTCTGATTGGCTGCCTTCTCTCTACTTGGTAGCTGAAATTAGAAATGGCTAAACCTGAACCCTATGGGTCTTTGACTTGGACATTTAACCCATGCACATATAAGAAGACGTTTAGGTTGAAAACTCCAATTTGTTTTGTGCTCCATTCAGATTGAAAATAGCGAATCTTTTAGTGATTTATTTTCATCACTATTTTTTGTTATAAATTTCATCCACAAAATCAACTGTTATCCGAAACTTTGATAAATAAGTACACGGGTTAAAAACCATTGCCTCTTTAAATTTTGATTGTTTTTGAAATTAGAAAAAAAAAAGTCTTTTGGAGCGCAGTATAGTTTACTTTTCCATTGTATTTTTCTGGATCTTATCGAAGAATTAAAAAATGCAGTTTAGAATATTGAGAAACGTTGTTCTTCAAGCTCGCAGTCTTTTTAGTTCGAAAAATCGGTAATTTATTATCCATAACACACAACCAATGTAATAATAATTATTAATAGATACAACTTCATTAAATTATTTTTATCGTATTTACCATATCAAAACGATTCGCAGGAGAAGGAAAATAACACATTTTTGTATCTGCTCGATTGATTTTTTTCTTATTTTCTATCAGTTTTGTGACTGTAAAGGTCAATCTTCAGGATGCAGTTTTACAGATAATATATAATAAAAACGTTCAAATACCATTTCCAACTAAACATAAATAACCTGACTAGATACATATTCTTCAGCATATAATTACATCTTTATATGAATTAAATACATTAAGATATACTCCAAAATAGATAAGTTAAAGCTTATCAAATATATTTTCTTTTCCATTCCTTTATCATTTTTCTTTTGATTAAAATGTATATTTTAATTACATTTTCTCCTGATATTATAGAAAAGTTTATTTCCATAAGCTTTAGTTAAGAATTTAATACAAAATATACCTCTTACTTACTTGATTGTAATTTTTTAAATCCCTAGTCAGTTTTTACTGTTACATAATTCCAACATACCTTACTCTACTACTCTGACCTCTTTCCTCCACCTATTTAAAGTGGGCAAATTTCAAAATTTAAAAGAACCATATTTTCATGCGTGCCCTTTTCAGCCATGTGATATAAAAAAATAAAAAATTAATTTTCGAATAATATTTAATAAATTTTGGCGCCACTGTGATTAAGTTCATAAAACAAAAGTGTTTGACATTATTGGTATATTATTAATTTTCGAATAATATTTAATAAATTTTGGCGCCACTGTGATTAAGTTCATAAAACAAAAGTGTTTGACATTATTGGTATATTATTGCCATTTTCTGATCTTCTGATATTCAGCAAATAAGTTCCTTAAATTCAAAAGTATCTGCACAAAAAAGATTCGTAAACTTTACTGCAGAGGATATATCGAACTCGGACAGCAAAGACAGAAAACAAACACTAGTTAATATATAAACAGAATATTTATTCGTGTAACGAGACATGTTTGGTGGTTTTTTTTCCAAACAAAGTGTTCTGGTACTATCTGTGTTTTAAATAAAAGTATGAATAGAGATTTGAAATTCTTGCAATATCTGGAATCTGAATTGTCCACGAGCGTGATTGAATTCGCTCTAGTTGTTCTCCGGTGGGACAGCGGTATGTCTACAGACTTACAACGCTAAAATGTGGGGTTAGATTCCCCACGGTTGATACAGTTGATATTCCAATGTTGTTTTGCTATAAAATAAACAAATAATCGCTCTATTTTGCATGCTAGAAGGGAGTAAAATCACACCACAATCCCACACAAAATACGGTAGTTACCACACACGTTGGGCAATACAATATCTGGTTCATCAGCTATATAAAACCGTTTCTCCGCGATTTTCGCAAGTTCTATCGAGAGAGACATCTCACTTACCGCTTTAAGGCGGATAATTGTGTTACCTGCCTGAACACGAACACTGCTACTATTTAATACAAAAGGAACACAGTCAACTCCCTAAACTCCGCATTTTAGTGGCCATACACTATTGAGAGAGGAATTGTTTGCCTATTAATTGTGCTTTTCAAGGTTAACAGATCGAGCCTTTTATCGCAATACACTTTTTAATCTAACTTGAATACCGGAAACCGTGACACCCCTCTGTAGTTCCTCGAATTTAGTCTCACTGACAGGGTGTTAGTCTTTTCCAAGTAAGACGTTATCAGAAAGATGAGCACGTACAAGTAAGTAATGTAGATTTTTGTTATGTCTGTAGAATATAATAAAAAACACAACACTGTCAAACATGTGAAAGTTTTCTTGGTGTATGTATGTTTATTTATTTAGAGCAAAGCCACATTGGTGTATGTAGGAGTCTTCGGATTTACAACACTAGAATCAGGGGTTCGATTCCCCTCGGTGGACACAGCAGATAGCGCGATTTGGCTCTGCTTTAAGTAAACATACACTTCGATGTTTAAGATGACGAGTAAAGAGTTTTTTAATTGCCGGTAACTACATTTGCCATGAACATCCGTGCTACAACTGACATTAACGACAATATGTTTGTTTTTTTTTTTTTTTACAACTGAAGCTGAATAGCTTCTTGTAACAACAACAAAAAAAGAACTACAGTCAAATGGCAGGAAATGCTGATAGTGTCTTTATCTTTAGGTGTCAGTACAATGAATCGATTTGTTTAATTTACTGCGTTATATGCTTATATTGTAACCAAATTTATAACGGGCAACATCTTGATGAATGAGCACGTGACTTACATAAAACCGTAGCCAAATGCTTTAATCTACACATCGAATTATTAGGTTATTCAGACTGTCGGGCTACGCGACCTATTAAAAGGCAAAACTGAGAAAATAGAACCGAAAAAAAAAAGCTGTTTAACCGACTTGGACTCTTGGTTGATGCAATCCACAAGGCACAAAGAAAAAGTTCTTTTCTGTAACTTTTCCATAATTTTACTGTTAACTTATTATTAGCTGCTAATTCGTTATTTTAACCAAATATATATATGTATTTATGTTTCTTTTTTAAATTTATTTATTTATATTTCTTCATTTTATTTTTAACTTCTGACAGAAGCCAATATGTCATTTCTCCACCATTGTTGACTCAACAGTGGTTAAACAATTATTTAATTTTTGTAGTAAATATTGGTGGATAAAATACATTAATTAGAAAAAAACGATCATATAACACCAAATTTGTTATTTTTCTTTAATTGGACATTCAACGTTTTGCTTTACAGCTTCTTTAGGACCGTTCCACTAAAACACAAACCGTAACTAACAGTACAAAACTTCAAATCAGTTACTGTTTGTGTTTCAGTGGAACGCTCCAAAATTCCCAGAGGGTGTCTTGAAAAACCATATTCGATAACACACACTGAAACGCGTCTATAGGCCCAAGCCCCGAATCTTTTAAGCACATAGCAACGCCTCTTATATGGTTATAAAGTCATTTACTTTTAGTATTAAAAAGTATCTAAACGATAACAACGAACACATTTTCAGGTACGATATTCTGATTAATTTATTGTTATCCTAAAATAAACTGTCATTGGTTTTAGTGAGAATATGCATCGATACATTTAAAGGGCCAGTGACATGTTAACTAGTGCTCTAGGTAGCCGCTTATGTAATACATATCCTTAACACCAGATCTGCATATATATATACTGTTCACCATTATTTAAGTTATCTTTTACTAGATTCAAGTGTTTTCCGTTTTCATTTCATTATTTTAAAAGCATACTATGTACATCACTGATTTTTTACGAAGCAGATCTTTTGCTTTTTACTTTCACTAGCTCGAAACAGGAACTATGAGAAAGTGTAATATGAAAGCTCTCCAGAAGTATGGGTTGTTCCCGAGACAGAAGCAGAGCTTAAAGATTTTAAAGTTAATCCACATTATTAACACAGGAAATAAAGTGCTGCTCAAAACTAGCAGAAGTCATCACGAGTCAGTTGGACAGTAAGAAGAATGTAACAAGTGTGAAAATGTATCTAAGGAGTGTCAGTTTTGATAACCCAACCAAATGTTATTAAAGTAGTGTCACAAAACATCTTATTTTATTGTACTCACTCATCCAAACTGTCATAGATTCTATAATAAGAGCAGGTGGATTAAGTCTGATTAATCAGAAGCGTCATAATTATTGTGGATCCAGTAAAACAGTATAAAGTAATTTATAAATGAATATATCAAAGTATTTATATTGATGCACTTATATATATATATTACAAAGTGTTCTATTTGACATATGATTCTATTATAGCAGTATATTCTTTAGTGGTTGCGAGTGGTATAAATGCAATCAAAATGCCCAATGTTCTTATACCTAATATATTAACAATTTCCGAAAGTTAAAGGTTAGAGCACAATATAGCTGAAGAGAGACAGAGTGCATTTGAGATACGATTAGCATTGGAAAAATAAATGTTGATATATTTCTCAAATGAAGTTTTTTGTATAATATTATTTATACTTCTCTGCAATAAACCAAACATCTTAATCCTCGATTAAGGACATTTCTAGCTAAGGAATTTATTTGAAGCTACCTTGCTTAAC